TCTGTAGTTTGTGTGAAGAGAACCCATCATTTAGTAAAACAACATTCCAGAATAAGAATTAAATGTTGTCTGCCATGGAGAAGAAAAACATGGAGATTGCATCCTTGTAGCAAGGAGACAAGGTTTTAATGTCACTATTTAACAGGAAACCAGTGAACCAGAGAAGAGAAGTCTCTCAACGGCACTGGGCAGAGATCTCCAATCATTTCAGGAAGCATTTTACTGCAAGTATAATTTCATGTGTACATTAAAGCAAAAGGTTCTGAGTAATTGCAGTTCATGAGGCGTAAGTTGTTTTATAACAGGGAAAATTTAATCCAGGCATCACACGGCTGTTCACACAGGAACTTCACCTCGCTGAGTGTCCCACTTCCAAAGGCAGTGGGTCTGATCGAGCTACAGAGGTATAATTTGAAACTCAGTCCCAACCTATGGGGACAGGCATTGCAAGAGAAGGGCCCTAGAAAGCAATCTTACCAAAGCTACATAACAAATACCTTCCCTGCAAAGTACTGAGCTAGCCAGTTAGGGGCTGTCTCCACCTATGAATTACTAAAACTTCATTTTCGTAGTATAAAAAGATTGCCATGCTTCCTAGAGTACCTGTGGATACATCTGTGTTTATGATATCACCTTTAGGAATTCTGCTAATTCTTATGAACATCTCGTAATTGTTCTCTGAAGTGATTAAAAATGAACAAATATCCCAAGTAAGACAATAGAAACAGCATTTACCAGCATAATATTTTCAAAATTCTCTCTACTATGTTGAGAGAAAAAGTTGCTTTCTCTGAGGAAGTTCCAAAGCCTAGGATAGATAGAAAAGAAAAACTTTCTAGAATAGAAAAGGGACAGAAGGTAAAACAAAGTCCTAGCACAGGTGCACGTTCCTGCAAACAAGCCAAGTAATGCATGCTAAATTCTCACTGCTCTCCTCAGCTAAAAGAGGCTGCCAGGCTGCAGCTTTCCCCCTACCCTTCTACTTCAAATCTCATCCACAGAACTCTGATGCCCACGGAAAACACATACATTTTAGTCATCCCTTTCTCTAGTGAAGTAGAAGGTGGCTGTGGACACAGGCTTCCCAAAACAATAACTGGGACTTTCAGAGACCTGATGTGGCAGTAAGAACCTCCCTCCACAGCTGCCAGAGATTTTCAAGTCCTTACAGCAGTACTGGCCAATGATCAACCACAAAAACCAGAATAAGACAAGACAGCGATGTTCCGTTCATCTGATGGTAAGATTACAGCAAGTGTTTTTCTAAAACTAGGCAGGCACTAGATTCTGGGAAAATGCAGCTCTGGAATTTGCAGCTTAGTTATTATACAACTAATAACAGTTAACACAAGTGTGAAAACCACATAAGAGAAAAGCAGTTTCTTTCCCACCATTCCACTGGTGAAGCTGCTTACAAAAAGAACACTAAAAAAAGTCTCAAAACTTCACACAAGTAAATTCTTTCCTTCATACTGAATGGACATGTTGTACTCCTACTCTCTCCCAAAGGAAGCTAAGAGCTTCTTTATATTTTCAAGCCTACTCTGCTGCTCTCGACAAAATACAAATGAAAGGGATGTATGAATGATTAATAGATGACAACAGAGAGCTAGCCAGGTATTTCAAACACTTCTGTCTGTCCTTCCCACATGAATTCCTCAATAGTGCTAAGTAAGTCTTCCTACTTCTTCCATCCCTTAAATGTCTAATTACAGCTGATTAAATAACTTGCTGAGAAGCAAGGAATTGATGGCATTCCCTAAGGTCTCCTTTATCTCCCTGGCAGAAAGCCTGACCCAGCCACCAGGCACCCTGGGCCTCGCTGTCTTTTTGCAATCAGCAGTCAGTGAATCCAGCAAGAGCCTCTTCCCGTCTTGATACTTTACCAATACTGCAACCTCACGTGGAACATCATATACTCTAATGGAAACACAGATACTATTTATTTCTGAAGAGAAACAGGCCTATGATGTGCTTTTCTCGTTTTAAGATAACAACCATTGGCTTTTGTTGAAAGCAAACCTTATACAGTACAAACAATTTGGTAACTCCCTCCTCCATCACCCCCCAAAACCACCACCAAGGCAAACAGGACACTACATCAATGCAGCATCGCTGCTTTGTTGCATGCTTGGTATTTACACACAGGTACAAACTCAATACTGCTTGAGTCCATTCGCATCATTTAGCTCAAATACATACTGAATTTGTAAAATAATCTCTGTAAATCCAATACAAGAAATTAACGCAAATTCGAATCAGCGCAACTGAAAGATGGTAATATTTGACAATTAATACAGAAAAATCAATCGACATTAGAACTACAGTAGAAAGCTTCAAAAATAGCAAACTTTTTGGCAGTGTTGAAAAAAATCAGGATGATCCTTCATTAACACATACTTTAATATTTACTTCAAAATTCAAATCCATAAATTCTAAACTCTCATAGGTTAAAAGGACCATTGCAAAAGCTAAGGAAAAGCTTTGTATTTGAAAAGCATCATAAACTAGGGGAAGACAGTTTTCCCACGGCGTGCCATGCAGATATCTCCCAGTGATGCTACAGGGAATTACCTGCAAAACCACTGAATAACCTCTTTGGTTGGCCTGTGACTCCGTTTCACACGCATGCTGTTTATTACAACTCCCATAAAAATGGACGAAAGCAGCACACACGAAATTAGCAGCAGCTCCTGCTTGGAAACAAAAAGCACAGCACATTCCCCCTCAGCCAGCTCCCCGCTCCAAGTATTCCAGAATAAGCCACAAAAAATTAACAATGAGCTTTCAAATGACAGGACATCAGGTGCTCCGTACGCTACAGAATCAGTCAAGTACTTACAAGGTTTCTTAAACAAATTGATCATCCCTACAATTTCAGACGAAGTCAGAGAAACTCCAGACTTGATCTTCTCTGAGGAAGAAACAAAAGCCCTGAAAATCACCAAAGAGAAGAGTTTGCTTGGTACTTTTTGCTGGTTTTAAGAGAACTCTGAAGGACAGACTGTAATGAGAACACAAGCTCGCAGGAACAGCCTTACAAATCACGCCCAGCAAACGTTTCGACACACTGCTTTATTGAACCCTTCCTACTCTAAAGTCCTTCTGAAACAGTAGTTTCCAGGGAAAAAGTGCTAATGGAGGCTTTAGCTAAGTAAAAGTTAAGGTGACTGCATATTGATCAGTAAGACTTTCTGACTCACCTTTCATGCGGCATTCATTAGCTGCATCAATTTATATAGCTACTTTTTGCTCAATCTTCCCCAGCCAGAAGGCCAAAATGCCTTACCTTTTCCACAAGGACAATACGGCGCATATGGAGCACATCTCTTCACAGGTGCTATGAACCAGCACCAGCAATTTTTAAAAAGCCAGAAAAAACACAGTCATTAGTTATCATCTATGTTTTCAACTTTACAAGAGGAATTAAATGTCAATAATAAAATCTTGAAATCTGAGGGCTTCTATTTTCCAAGAAAAGTTGTGCTCGGCACTCAGATTTTCTGAAGCAGCCTATAGCACCATGCACCCAAGATAAGAGTTAAGCAGTCTGCATCAACTATGTAGAAGGAAGTGCATCGTTGTTGTTTCTTTTAAGAAAGCAAGGAAGTTCTGAATACAAAACCTAACCAAGACTACACTATGTAATTCTAAAAACACCCCAATCTGAACCGAAGTACTTCTCTGTGCTCTGGATCACACTCCCTAGGGCTTCAGTAGCTCCTGTCACAGAGAATTTAGTCTTCCATGAACAGGTCTCTGCAAACATGACTTAAAGAAAAAATAATGCATTCTAGAGCTAGGCTCCCAGACTTGGCATATAAATAAGTGGTCTAGTTTTCCTATCTCCCAGGACTCAGAAGAGCTTCTGGTGTAGTAAAATCCTGTACAAAACATTCCTTTTTAGTGTTCTCTTTTCAAGTCTTTCACTGTGTTTAATATTATATATTTCACAGGTTTTACCCAAAGAAAAATAATCAGCAACAACAAGGGCTAAAATGACCTTTACATCCAGAAGGTGTTTGAACCAAAAAGTGCTCTGCTCAAAACCCAGGGTCTATCAGGAAGATTGTATCTTCTTAATGTGAAAGCAAAACAAGTTCATCCGACGGTTTAATCACAAGCTCTTAGCATTTGCATACCAATCGTGGATACTTCTGAACTAAGTAAGATAAAGCCTTTAACAGAGCAGAATTTTAATTAATCCATTGTACAAACTGCATTCAGAAAGATAGGATTTCTTGAATCTCTCTCTGCAAGGTCAATTAAATACATATTATTAGCTTATTTGGAGAAACAGTTAAGAAACTCTAGCTACACAGTGGAGTTAATTTGCTAAATTGTGAAAACACAGACACACTGACAATCACTCCCCCAAAACATAGGCAGATAAATGGGATGGAAGTGAATATAAGAGATGAGAATAAAAAAAGAGATGATGACAAAAAGTTGGAGTAATAATTCTACTATACCCCTAACCTTCTGAAATATCTCTTGCCAAATTTCTCCGCAGATTTATCTTGATTATGTTTAATAATAATTTTAGTAACTTCTATCTTTAGGGACACATTTTATTTCATTAATGAAATTTTCTCAGAATCTGAAAGAATGACTTTCACCCAATTTCATTTTTAATTAAAAAGAGCCGAAAGAAAAAGGAAAGGAGAAAAAAGAAATGAGGAAAAAAAAAAGAAAGAAAAAGAAAGGAAGGAAAAACTACTCTGGTCTGACAAAATGCATGGCATTTTGACCCTCCTAGAAGAACTGCTTCCTCAGTTTCAGCAACTTTGCTTGAGGGAACAAGGTTCCCTAAAGCAAATAGATTCACTTTACCCAGCCCCATTCAAGCTCTCCTTCTACAGCACTACACATAGACCTAGCATCATCTCCTAGGAGCCAGCAAGGCAGGATTAATTTGGACCACAAGAGCTTATGGCAAGGCTCAGGATTCACCAGAGGAGTGGCATGGCCATTCAATTAAATGATCTATGGATGTAACTGTGGTTGCTCTTCTGGAGATGTTCTGCAGCTCTCCAAGTCTCTCGCAGTTCCATCATCTCAAACCCTGCAATGGAGATTCAGCTTGGAAAACAACAGATGAACACTGCAATACTGAAAAGGGCAAATGTGAAGAGCTAGCTCTTAGAAGCACCTCATCTTCAAATTTGGCACCAGTTTGTTTTTCTGTTGTAGCCCATGATCTGGTACTGCTATCTGAACAACCAGGACCTAGGACAGCAGAAATAATCTCGAAGTCAGGGACTATTAGTGCAGCGTTAATCATCCCACAAGGTTATCAAACAACTTTTTGCAAGAGCAAAAAAGGCACAAAATCACTCAGGCAACAGATAGGAAGACCAGGGGTAGACAAGTCTTCTATGACAAAGGGTTAGAAACTACCATCCCCTCCCTGCATCTGTTTGTCACCAATGGCACAACCTTTCCCTGGTTAGTACTTT